AACTTTGAACGTGTTCTGTTCACTTTGAGCATGTATGAACTGAACTTGAACTAGTTCAGAAAAGCTGTGAACTGGCACAACACTGGGGGGGGGACATGAAGTGGGAGATGGGGGGGGGGGGGGGGGGGTTAATGAAAAAGGCAATACAAGCAAACAGTATACAGTCATAGATATACCGAAAGTAAACAGAGAAACAGCATAGAATATTTACATGAACAAATTTACAAAATATTTACAGATTGTTTATCATCATCATAATGACACCATGATGTTTCTATACAGTCAATGGTCTATACCCACACATACACACACACACCCACACACACACACACACCCACACAAATGTGTGACTAATTTGCGATTAATCGCAAATTCACTTACATGACTTAAAAGTGAATGAATCTAGCTCTGTAACCGTTGGTGTCACACGTCTCATTTTGGGCTTAAACATCAGTAGTTAGGCCCTTCTTATAATTCTTGCGGGTTGTATTTTGATGTTGTACTTGTAAATGCAGATTCGAACCATAAGAACTGACAAATCAGAGTCCTTGATTTGTGGGGTGGAAACTCCAGAGTACATTTGCAACACGTTAGTTTGCATCTGTATCTTCTACAGCACAGAGGTACCCCCTTCGTCACAAATGCCCATATAAGGAAATTCAGCAAGCTTATGTGCCAAACGCTGCATTCAGCAACACTATAGGTGACAACAGAACTCGGTCCAATCCTGATATATGGTCTATGATGCAAACATTCACCACTATGCTATTACAATTGGCAGCAAGTATTAGATTTCCATTTTCTTGTCTACCTTTTAAAATAGCCTATCCATGATTCAACAAGTAATTCCCATGGCCCTAATACCCTCATATTTTATTAAGATCATCAATCTGCCTTTATCAGATGTAGTGATTACGCCCACTAGTCTTCCCCTCATTGAGTTGTTCCAACACCAGCTGGGTGTAGTAGTGAAGAGCTTTGAATGCGAAAGCAGACGCAACCTTCCTCTCTGCACCTATAAATATTTCAGGGACAGACAGGTGGAATAAATTGACAGTAAAATTGACATCAAATCCGGCTTTTAATTTCAAGAGAAAAAGCGAGAGGCGACGGCGCGAGGGCAATGTGGTGAAGAAAGGTCACAACCTCCATGTCAAAGAGGTGTTATAATTCTCTGAGCAATAAGAGTGTGCACCGTCTGTCTTGTAGAAAGAGGAGAGATATCAGATCAGCATGTATACTGTAGATGGAGTTGGCTTGGAAGAACTGGTGCAATGTTTATGAACAGGACATTGAATGTCATATATTTGATGAGTTGGAATTTAAGGCAGCAAATAACCTGACTGTCCGATTCTTTATTTGTAGAGAAAAGCTGTTATGTTTATTTGTCTAAATAATCATTCAATCCAATCCAATCCAATCCACTTCATTTATATAGCACACTTAAACAACAGTTACGTTTCCAAAGTGCTGCACAAGAAAGTATAAAATAAATAAACATTCAGGGCCTCTCAAAGTCATATGCAGTGTATAATTTATAAGTTTATGAGTTTTATACAAGAAAAGTGAAAAGGGAGGAGCAGGAGCAAAAAATCAACGCCCACAGGAGATGGATTCTGCTCATCCTTTCCTTGGGACGTTCGTGCGACAACCAATCAGAGAGCTGCAAAGTGGTCACAGGGACATTAGCGGACTGAGCGAGCAGACTGAAAATACTCATGAACAGCCAAAACAGGACCCACACCAGGCTTCACCAGAACTCAAACCAGGGTTGAGCTTGTGAATATATGCGTTGTCATGCTCCGTGACCTTATGCAACAGCTTCGAGTGTGTTCGCCGATGCGATTCTGTTTAATAATATGAATAAACTTATGGCGCACCTCCGTGAACACATACTACTGTTATATAAAGCCCGTGGAATGTCTGTGAGCAAAGACACGCTGCAAAGCTGCATATTGGAGAAGATCTGTACACAAGAAGCCGCTAGCATAGCTCTGTTAGCTTTAGAGCCGGCCGGCTACTTCCGGTACTTCCGGCTCGCGTCAGGACGTTCTGGTGTGAAGTCCTCTGCGTCTGAAAACAAGAGAATGCGCGTCTGGTGAGCGGGGCTTCCGCGTTTTAGCCAGTGGGGGAGGGTCCCAGCTCAAAAGTGGCCAAAATGACGTGCGCTGACATGCTTGCAATACCACCCCGGGCCGATGGGGGTGGACCCAGAAGTAGAATTAGCCAATGCTAACTTATAGCGTTGGCAGACCTCTCAAAAACGTCTTTACAGGATGGACCAAAAGTTGGCTCTTGGCCCAAAGCTCCGTTCCTCCGGATTCTAAACTGTTTTAACATGGGAACCAGAGTCAGAATATAAAGTATTGCAGAACAATGTTGAGTATAACTTACATATTTATCAGATTACAGTTACATGTATATATTTTTAACGTTTAATCAGGTAGGTCAGTTGAGAGCACATTGTTAGATGGTACATGTGGGGAAATAATAATTGACCAGAGTTTATTGATGGCTGAGGCCAGGTTAGTATTAAATGCCCTCTTGTATGGAACAGCCAGGTATTTTTAGTTTTTTTAAATCTGTTTAGTGAGAATTTTCCGAAATATTAAAAAACATCAAAAGTGCATTAACATATTGCATTGACATAAAAATAGAGTAAACTTGTTTTTCAAGTATTTGGTTAAAGATTTAATTAATTTTTACCCGTGCTAGTGAACACGACTGGAAATTCACAATGGACAGGCTAATTTTTCTTTTTGGTTTCGGAGCAGCTTTTATAGTTAATTTTTATTTCAATTGGTGTAGATGAAAAGGATGTGTCCTTAATCAGTGTAGCTTGGCCAAGAGTGTTCTGTTCCAGCTCCAAGATACATGAGAGATGTGAATTTTGGAGCTTGTGGCAAATTTGTCTGTTTTCTACACAATATGAAGGGGCATATGGGGTGCGTGCTTTAGATGCTTCTGTGCCTGTGCCTGCTGGCCGTCCTTGTGTCCTTGCTTATGTGTTTCATGCAGTATATCCTACTATCTCACATGCTTCTTCCTCTTGTCTCCACCTCACTGGGTCACATCCCTAATGCTAGTTCTGCGCTTGTTGTTACTTTCCCTCTGTCAGTGCCAATGTTTCTCACCTCCTCCTCCCGGGGACATTGAGCTGTCAATCCCAACTTCTACCTCTGCAAAATTTAAAACAGAATTTGAAATGCACAATGTTGGAAAAAAAAATACATATTTTGTGTTGAATAAAAACAACAGCAATGTTACCCCAACAACCACAAAGTTATTGCTTATATTGCAAAAATTTATACAATCTTGTATTTACATCAAAAATGCTTTTTGCACTGCTTTGGCACTTCCATTCCTTTATCCCTGGTCTGGTTCGGCCATGTCTAGTCAAGTTGGGCAGCAAGTGGTGTAATTTGGCCCATTGGGGCTGTTGGCTGTAGGTGTGGGGGGATAAGCGCTGGATCTGGGCTTTGGGGAGGAAAGCAGGCTTAGTGTGAGGGCCTGGCTGCAGAAGGGGCCAGCGATCTCATAGGAAAAAGCATTAAATAAACATTAATGGAAGTAGGTTACTGGTGATTTTGTAGGCTAGGCTTTTTTTGGCCCCCTCTGTATGAGTTTTATGTGGTGCTTTAATAACGCTCCCTATGCGCATAGGTAACACATAAGCAAATCATGTTATTGCCATCCTAGGTGGGCATTGAGAATTTGAGTGGCTCCCCAAAAAAGCGGTTTATGATTTTTTTCTCACTCTCTTCTTCTTAGCTTTTTTGATTTTAAAATATACCCTTGCTGGGCATGCAGAAACAGATTTAAAAGGTGACTGATCAAAAGGAGCATTAAGGACATGATGAACGCGCACATATAACCTCAGGAAGGCAACAAATAATAAAGGATGCGTTTTGCTTTTGGAAAATTGTTTGATGAATAATCTGTTATACTGTTTACAGTGACCCTATAGATTTGGGATCCTCTACCCACTCTAAAAGCTTTTTGATTAAAAGCATATTGTGCTTGGTTATTTTCATCGGCTTATGCTCATTTTATTCATGTTGTCACCTTTCTTATATCGCACCACCTCCAGGAAAAACACAAATATATTCATACAGTATTATAGACTTCAGTTTGTATCTGAAAACTGAAGGAAGGGAAACCATGCAGAGCTGTTGGGGCTAGAGAGAGTTCAACTAAAAAACGACGGACGCTGAGCAGGGGGGAGAGGACCGACAAACAGGTTGGCACAACTCAATGCAGCCTTGCTGTTTTTGCTCAGGGACCCTTCAGGGGCTGAGCGACAGTAGACATTGAAAAATAGTGTGTTGCATATCTTCTCTGTTTGTGACTTCAGTGCAGTGAGTTTTCAGTCTGTGGGTGCTTGATGAAACCCTCCACATTGTATTGGTGTTGCCGCAAGGGATAGTTGTGCGTCAGCCTCCATCTATTTGACATATGTCTGTTGATGTGGAAAATATTGCATGGAGCCAAAGCCCAGGCAGCCACTCCAGATCCAGGTCCCCAGTGAGATACAGGCACTGCACTGCTTGCCTATTAGCGAACATGATGGATTCGTGAAGAATGGCTTCAGCGCCCCCCGGGAAGGATGGCTAATAGTTGTATACAAATACACCATCTAATCTTCTAATCGTAGGAGAAAACTCCCATTACAACGCATGTTTTGTTGTTTTTTTTTATTGATTAACAAACAGTTTTTATTTAATTTTAATAATTTTTTAACTTAAAAAAGGATTAAGTTTTTTTCATTTAAGGGACAACTCTTTCCAACTTCTTAAAATACAAAAATATCACTCAACCAATACGACTACTTCTTCACACTACCCGAACCTACTCACCTTCTCATCTGTCAAAAACTTATTTACTCTTCTCTCTTTACCTAACTTTTTCTTCATCACAGCCCCAACCGAAACCCCACAAATTATTATTTGACTTTACCTCTTCAATTAGCACCAACTAAGCACACGCACCCGAGCTCCACTCTAAACCCCCCCCCCCAGCAACTCAATTTCAGCTAAAAGCCACAGTACAGTTAATTGCTTCTGAGATGATATGGTTAATGGGGCTATTGCACTCGTGCAATAGTAACCTTGGTTGGCCCCCAGAACAACCACCCCACCCAACACCCCACCGCCACCCCCCACACCAAAAACAAAAAACCCCAAAACCACCCACAATCCCCACCCAACCCCACCCAACGGGGGCCCCCACCCGTGTGTCCCTGCCGGCCTTTGGCCAAAAGGAGACGGGAAGGGTAGGGTAAGGGTGAGGAACGGATGTAATTTTTTTGTTTGTTTTGTTGTTTTGTAAATGTTTTGTGAGTGCGCGTCGGGCTGGGAGGTCTGTATTTTTACATTCATTCTTATTTTATTTTTATATTTTTTTTTTTATTATTATTTTTTTTTAATTTATTTTTTTTTTTTATTTAATTTTTTATTTTTTTTATTTTTTTTTTTTTTTTTTAATTTTTATTTTATATTTTTTTTTTTTTTTTTTTAATTTTTTTTTTTTTCTTTGTTTATTTTTTTTTTTTTTTTTAACTTTTTTTGTATTTTTTTTTTTTTTATTTTTTTTTTTTTATTTTTTTTTTTTTTACATTTTTTTTTTTTTAATTTTTTTTTTTTTTTATTTTTGTTATTTTTTTTTTTTTTTTTCTTTTTTTTTTATTTTTTTTTTTTTTTTATTTTTATTTTTTTTTTTTTTTTTTTTTTTTTTTTTATTTTGTTTTGTGTTATTTATTAAATCTATCTGTTGTCCTGGTGTATTGCTGCTTCTTTCTTGATTTTCTCTTCCGCTTTGTTGTGTCTTCCTCTAAAATTTTGTTAAAAAAACAATCTTAAAAATCACATTCTCTTTCTTCTTGATTCACTATGCGATTAGGTTCCTTGGTTTTTTGTTTATGGGCCTTTAGAATATTTCTGCTTTTTTTTTGCGTAGTAATTAAAAATCGAATTGGAATTTTTTTTCTTGCCCTTTCAAAATTCTATTCTCTTTCTTCTTCCTTGTTTTTGTAAAACAAAATCTGGACCCACGATAGCGAGAAGACAGCCCCACCACAGGCCAAGGCAACCAAGACAGCAGCTGTTAAGCAGCAAGCAGGGAAAGGCACCCAGCACCCACAGCAGCCAAGTAGCACCAGTAGAGTCAGGCAAAACAGCAAAGCGTAGTTTGCTAGACGAGTTGCTATTGTCCAATAAGTTTTGGCTAGTGTTTGGTGTAAAGAGAAAGAGGGATAGAAAGTGAGAGAGAAGAGAGTAGAGAGAGAGGAAAGAAAGAGAAAGAGAAGAAAAAGGGAGGAGGAGAAGAAGAGGGGAGAAGAGGGGAGGGGGCAGGAGAGAGGGAGGTGAGGGGGAGAGAGGGACGGGCGGAGGGGAAAGGAGTGAGGAGGATTTGGGAGAGACCGGATGAAGCGAGAGGAGGGGCAGGTGGAGGAGGAGAGAAGGGAAGGGAGAGGCAGAGGGAGACGAGAGGTGGAGAAGAGGAGATGAAGGAGCGAAGGGAAAAGGTAGAGGAAAAGTGTAGAACTGGAAGGTAGTGGGGAAGGGGAAGTAAGTAGCGATTGAAGGGGGAGGGAGGAAGAGGATGAAGAGGGGGCAGGAGACCGGGGGAAGGGAGATGAAGACATCAGAAGGGGAGTGAGGAGATAGGGGTGAGGGGCGAGAGGAGGGCGGGGACGGGGCGAAGACAGGGTGGGAGGAGAGGAGGGAAGAGAGACAGGAGGGGACGGTGAGAAGTATGAGAGGAAGATCGCGGAGGATGGAGACGAATGAGTGGTGAAGCTGGGAGAGAGAGAGGAGGCAGGAGGGGAAGGTTTATGAGAGAGTAGTCTCGAAAGGAAGGAGAATGAGAACGAGGTGACGAGGAGACGAGTTGTGGAAGATGACGGAGCAGAAGAGGAGGAGATGCAAACCGAGGAGCGATAGGGGTGGGGAGAGGACGCTGTGAGATGGGAAGAAGAGAGAGGAGATAGAGGTGGGTAAAGGGATCATGGGGGAGGTGGGAGGTGGAGAGTGAGAGGAGAGCGAGTGACTATAGAGATGGGGATGGAGGAGAGGGTGGAGGAGAGGGGTGAAGAAGTGCGGACAGTGATGGGGTTGAGAGAGGTAATTGGAGACAATGACGGAGAATGGTGGGAGGAGGAAGAGATGAGGAGACGAGGTGGATGGGGGAGAGGGGGAGCGGAGGGAGGGAGAGAGTCGAGGGAGAGAGGGAGGTCAGGGGTGGAAGAAGGATAGGGATGAGGAGGGGAAAAAGAAGGGAGGAAGACAGGACGAGGGAGAGAAGGCGATGGGTGAGGGGGGGAGGAAGGGGGAGACATGGAAAGGAGGGAGGGGGGAAGGAAGTGAGAGTCCAGGGACGAGGACCGACCCCAATAACCCGGGTCCCCGGAACACCAACTAAGACGCGCCTTCCCCCCACATACACCCCCCACCACCCCTCAGGACCACCCTGAAGACACGACCGTACACCCAATCAGGGAATGATGGAGGACGGTCACCCCGGGAGGACAAAACACCACATAGGACACCCCCGGACCATGGGGTCATCACCGAACCGGCGACACGACCCAAATTGACCCCTCACCACCCCCACACCCCCCACTAACACAGCCATATCTGGGGCTGCAGGGGGTTTAGGCGCTGCTGCCTTTGTCGGGCTCTGCTGGTCTTTCTCCTCTTTGGTGGGTGTCTGCTGTGTGTCTCAATGCTGTATTTTGGTGCTAGTTGCTTTGCCTCTGTGCTGTGCCCTCTGCTCTTTGCTGCTGTTTGGCTGCGGTGAAGTTGGGGGCTTGTGGCCGGTTGTGCCACTCGCTTGGTTTGTTTGCTGCGGGGGTTGGGCTGAGTTCCGCGTTGGTGTTTTGTTGGCGAGCGAAGCGGGCAATTTGGTTTTGGGTTGTTGTGGTTGTTTCCGTATCGGTTTCTTGTTTTTTGGGGATCTAGGTTGGGTTTGTGTTTCCTGGGTGTTATGGTTTTGCTCCGCGTGCCTGCGGCCTTGCTCTGGCCTCTACCTTGGTTTTTGCTTGCGGGGGGCTGGTAGGGGTGTTTGCCGTGCGCTGTGGTCTGTTGTTGCGGTGTTTTTTTTGGTTGGTAATGCATGGTGTTGCTTGCTTTGTGCACTTGTTCTTTCGTTGTTCGTGATTCTCTTTCGCGCTTGCCCCTTCGTCCCTGTGCTTGGCTGCTGCTTTGGTGCTGCTTGTTTGCTCTGCTCATGCTGGTTTTGTTTCTGCTCCAATCACACTCGTCTGCTCTCCTTCTCCGTTCTCTCCACCCAGCATTTCCCCCCCCCCCCCCCCCTCATTTGTTTTGGTTGTTTGTTTGCGGTGTTTTTTTTTTTTTGTAAGTTTTTCTTCTCATGTGTAGTAGTTATAGTTAAGGTTATTGTGTAGTTTGAGTTTTTTTAGTTTTTTTTTTTTTTGTTTTTATATTGTTGTTAGGTTGTTTTTTTCTTTTTTTTTGTTTTGTTAGTTTTTTTTTTGAAGGTGATAAATTGAAAATATGGAAGAGAAATTTTATGATTGGGATTTTTGTTAGTTGAGGACATTTGAAAATATTAAAAAAATAATATCGAACAAAAATTTGAGAAATAAATTTATTTATATTTTATTAATTAAATAGTATTTTTAAAATTTTTTTTTAATTAGGATAATAGAATTTTATGTTATGGATAAATAAATTATTTCTCCTCCCCCCCTCTCTCCCCCCTCTCCCCCTCCCCCCTCCTCCCCCCCCCCCCTCCCCCCCCCATCCCTCTTTCTTTTTGCTCTTTAAGCGAGCAAAAGCCGTCTCCAGCGTTTTTCAATTTTCTTTTATAACGCATTAACCCCGTCATGTGGCAGGCCTGCAGAGACTACCTATTGTCTGCGGGAAAGAGAGAGTTGGGCAAGAAAGATTTGAGAAGATTAAAGGAGATTTATGTTGCACAATTCCATATTTTGGATGTTACTTGAGATGGTGATTTTTTAAAAAAATTTTTATAAAATTTATTATCTTTGTCTAATATACAATGTGGCAAAAGTGCTTTGGAAATCTGTTCTTAGTCACATATACAACATTTATAATAATAATATGCAAACATTCAGCTAATAGCTGGACATAAACATTTGGGCTTCTTTTTTGTGCTTATATTTTGATTACAATTTAATCTTTTAAAAAAAAAATTCAAGGACAAATGAAAGGTTATTTTGCCTGGTATACAGTATTTTTGAGAATTCTCAAAAATACTGAGACAAATAATTATAATCAACTTCAAATTGTTCTGTTTTTGCAAAATGAATATGTAATTGCCAGTGTGTTAGTTGGACCTGGTTGTTGTTGGGGTTTCGACGACTGTAGGTGTGTCAGTCTCTATGAGGAGTTGTGTCAGTGTCCGCTGCGATAATTGCTAAACTGATGCGACTGTCAATATTTATGTACGAATATATTTACGCTAAAATATATTATTTATTCGATAGTTTTTTTTTTAATCCATTCACCAGGGCGCCAAAGTGTTCCCGCCCGTTCACTAATTTTACATGGGCGATGGGAGCCAGCAGGTTCCAAACAAACGCTGACCCCAACTGTTTGTTCGGGAGAATAACACTTGAACTCAATGACTGCTCAAATCAGCATTTCTGCAGCATCCTATGTCACATGCTGGCTTACTAAACACCTTTCCATTACTCCGGGCTGCAGAGCTATTAGTCACCAATCTATTGACTCCGATGTGAGTGGAGAGGTGTTTTGTAATAATGAACAGCTTAAGGTCTTCACGACCCCGCTTTGTCCAGAGCTTTGTTTTCTTGACCTTGGCATCAAAGAGTGATTGCCACGTCCATAAAGACTTTGAGAGATTGTGTTCCATCTTACAATCATAAGATTCTATTGTAAAAGCTTTTGTACTGCCATTATGGGATTGGTTGTGGGTATTAGATTACTCGGAAGTGTTTGTCTGATCACCTTTTCTGCTTGACCCTCTTGGAGATTTTTTTTTGCCGGGTTACTTTGTCACGCATTCTCGGGAGCAAGCAGTCTGAGGAGAAGGGGGGCACACACGAGGAAGGGGGGGGGGAGGTAAAACTGCCTTTCCACCATGCACGTAAGAACAAGAACATGCAGTAAATATTCTCCATAGGCTCTCCTAACGGCTTGACGGGGAAGCATTTGGCATGCTACTCTTTCGCCTTTGACCCGGATTCCCTGTCAGCCGTGTGGCTGTGGAGGACTTCTTTGGTCAAATGGCCAACTCTTCCCCGTCTTGCTCTTCTGGTGGATAGGTCTTGGTGGTTTTTCTACATGCACCCCCCAAAGTGAGCCCACAACGAAAGGGATTAATAAACAAAAAAAAAAACAAACCTGTACAGAGTTCAGTGTTGGGTTAGTTTAGAATACTTTGAATTATGTTTTCTGTTACTAGATATAAACCGAGAAAAGTGAATAATAGAAATATAACCTAGCTAAATTACAAAACACGCAAAGATTGCCGAATGCGCTAACACAGACATACAAGCACACACGTGTTCTTAGGTTGTTGTTTTTGTTTTTACCTTGGAGAAATTGTTAGGAGTAAATATTGAGAAAGTAAGTATTGTAATTTTCTAACCTATCTGTTTTTTGCTTAAATACTACGACCTAGAATGTTAGTCACTGTTAACAGAATACAGTTACTCCAAAAAATGAGTATTAGGAATATTAATATTTTGTATTTATATCGCCTTTCACTAGTACCAAGGATAAGTCACAAAGCGGGGTCGCCAGGTAATGGGCCCTGGTCGCGGGAATCCTGTCTGTGCTCGGATAGGTGTAGGGTCTGGGATGGGGTTGGGGCCGTTTGGGGTTGGGGGGAGCGGTTTTATTTTTATGGGTATAAACAGGAGATCGTGAGTATACTGTTGAATAAAGAAGGAGTTATGGGTGGGTGGTTTGATTAGTCGATGTATAAGTGGTGGTGTTTTTTTGTGTGTAGGAGATCAACAACCCCAAAATAGAAATGTGATCACATTAACTTTGTTCTAGCAAGCACCTTAACAATGCGTTACAAAAACCGTGAGTGTCGTGGACTTTTGTTTCATCCCTTCTTGAGTGACAAATGGAGTGACATATAACTGAGACGTTACATATACAGACACGCCCCACATCCAACTTACAAAGACTGTAAATATATTACAGTGGCTACATGAAGGCATGATAGCCAGGACGACAGCGTGCATTTCATTTATGAAGATACTGGAATGGTACGTATGTGACGTTTATTGTTTGCATCTGTTGTTCTTTGGTCCCAATTTACACTCACCTAGTTTAGTTAATTTTTATTGAAGGACTGTGTTCAGAAGACATTTGTAGCTCAGAGAGACAAACTTGTTTTGCACAAGATTAACTGGTAGGAGTAGTTGTCATCTGCAGTCCCTGTACTCACCCTAATTGTACAGTGTTTTTAGTGGTAACCCGGGAGCGAAAACGTGTCAATCTATGTTTACACATAGACAGGCATTTTTTGGAAGTGGAATCAACCCAGACCTTCTTGCTGTGAAAAACAGTATCAAAAGTGAAGAAAAGGTAGCATAAACATTTACTTATTGTTATCATTGTCTTTAAATGTGTTTATAAAAAAAGCAAGTTTTTCTCACTGTTGTCCCAAAACTTTTACCCTATTTTAAACTTTATGAATTGATAAACAAAACTAAACACTTATCATGCCAATGAAGGGTTTGCACACTCATTACAACTTAAATCCCAGCCGTTTTATTTTGTTTTTAGTAATTTTGCATTCATTGCAAACAACGTACAGTTAGAACAAGGGGTTATGTTAGTCAACATGTCACCACACTTTCGAACCCAATGCTACATACCATGTCATGTGAGCAGCTCACAGCTGTATCAGTTCCTCAGTCATCGACCAAATTGTGGCCACACCTATGGAATATTTAAAATCTGCATTAAATGACAGTCGCTCTCTATAGAACAGAAATATTTAGGATTAGGTCATTGTTGCCGTGGTATATATGCAGCTACATAACGCTAAAACAAAACGGTTAGATTAGATAGCTGGGAGAGGCTATGTTATCACTCCCACTTGTAGCCTGTTTACTGAGCAGTGTTTCCAAAATTACAAGAAGGCCCCTTCGCAGGGCTCTTAACTCGCGACTATTACTTCATAGATGCAGAATTAAAAAACTGAAGATTTTTGTTCAGCACCGTCGCTAACTCACCAACAGATATGTGCAATTGAGCCTAAAATACTAATATCACTGGCACGCCACGACTTTCTTTTATATAAAATACATCCATCCAGAGTCAAACGTATGGGAGTAAATACTCCTATTTTTTTTTTATTTTATTCTTAAGGTTAACCCATGAGATGAACCATCTCCTTTTCAGGGGGTCTGTGACAACATGAAAAACAAACTTTTTATGATTCTACAAAAAAAAAACATATAAAGAAAAATAAGGGCACAGAATTCCAAACAATAAACATTCACATTCATTCAGACACGACTTCCCCGTGCCCCCACATCCACCCCCCACCAGGCTGACACTATCCAAGGGTTCAGAGTCATATTAACTTGCTTATGATTTTGTTGGTTGCTGAGCGCCCCAACCCGTTGTTATATTGTGTAATGAACAGGCTGACGCAGTTAA